ATTTAGATTAATTAAGATAAATTCACACACACATCACATACACAAAATTCGAACTCAAGACATACTGATTCGTAACCAAAACTCTAAACCAAAAGATCAAAATGAGCTAAATAACTTACATAATTCTAACTTTGTATGGGTGTGTGAATAAATTTGCGATTAAAATTTTTAAATATTAAAAAGATTACTTTTTTTAATATTTAAAATTTTAATCGGAAGCTTGTGCACACTCATATACAATTAATTATCATGTGCAGACGTCGAACGCTCTCCAGAAACCAATCAGAATGTACCACATCACCCATTCGCTCGGTAATGCGGCTTCGTACTGCTTACATAGCGCATTTTGATTGGCCTCCGGACAACATCTTGCATCCAATCTCCGCACAGAATAATTTCTCCTCACACAAATCTCAAGCCCGCAAACTCAGAGATGGGAGACGAAGCTCCTAAAGAGGAGATTGAGTTGGGCTGCATCAACCAAATTTTATAAAAATGGACAATAACCGCCAAAAATCTAATTTTTTTCATTGTATAAAAATCTAAAAAATAAAATAGCCAGTACAGAGAGGGCAAAATTCCTATATGCCTTGATCAGTCAGCTCAAGAGGGCAAATTCCTCCCAAGTTTGGCACCTTCAAAGCTAGGAACAGTTAGCAAGTTTCCACTGTCAGACATGTAGAAGTAGTTGTAGTTTATTCTAGTCACCAAATCAGCCAGGTGGGGAAAGTGCCCTACATTGAGCTTAAAAGATAAGATCTGCAGAAACAAAATCAGATGCAGAAACAATCATAAGAACTCCTCAGAAACTTTCAAAAATTTTTGCCGATTTATAAACTTCGAGTTAAGAAATTACTCGAAGAAGAAAGGCGATGCAATCGTCGAACTGCTTCTCGATTCGATCCACTTCCATTTCGCATCTTGCCCTGATAGCTGGAGCTGCTCCCACACTGTGCAGGCTCTGCTGTATGGAGTGAAAATCTAGAGCTAATCCAAGAATGCTCTTCACTCTACTTGCAATCAGAGCCCACTGCATGTGCAGGAAAACAAACTAGTATTGAAACAGTCTGCAATCAAAATTATAATGAAATTTGCAAATGCAGTGAAGGTTAATAGATTGACTGAACTAGCTTATCTGGGCCGACGAAACATTGCCGTTGGATCGACGAAAGGTAGGCCTCATGAACTTCTA